TCAGGGGAGCTTCAAAGGTTTCTACGTGTTTTTGCAGCGTTGAGTAATGTATCACAGACATATCTCATGAATCCTTTCAGAAGTAAAGTGTAGACGGTGTAAATAAAAGATTCATTGTGCAGTGTAGAGAACTGCGTTGATTATAAATGTGAGATCAAGTCAAACATAGCGGTGTCTCGTTTATGAATGAACTGCGTTTTTAAACTAATCTAGTGAGTCAATGATTCGTGATTACCCATTCATAAATACTGTCACTTGCTTCATTCCTGAATGATTCAGCCGTTCGAATGAATCAATTGAATGAATGATTCAGTCATAAAATCAGTGACTTGTGTGGTTTTAATTAGAATTTTTAAAAAGCTTATAAAATAAAATTTTTTTTTAATTTGACATAAAAGATGACATACTTTTATTAAAGTTAGAAAAATGCCATTACAAAGGTAAAAACAAAATTCCACTGTAAATTACTTTAAGGAGTCAAATATCACCTCGAAAATTTTTGATCAAATTTTGGATTATTGATTAGAAGGTGCTCCTAAATTTTTGACTGTGCTCCTAAATTTTTTAAGTTAAAATAAAAATAATCGTAGAGCCCTGTATGGGACAAAATTGTTTATATTGATATGCTTTGCTGTAGCAAACACATCTGAAAAATAACAGAGTGAGCTGCTGCCAGATAAATGCACGATCCAAGATCAAGAAACATGCTTTATATTAAGTGCTTGAAACTAAATCATAAACCTAAGTGGCTTGCCCTACTGTTAGATGTGTGTTTGATGAATTTAAGATCCATTTTCCTCAGAGCACAACCGACATCTAACGGTTGTATACTTACCTGTAACTGTTACAAATTCACAAGTATTATCCTGATAACAAGCGCGTCTATTTTTAACTTCACAGACTTCACCAAACGAGTGCACAAGTGTCAAATAGAGTGGATTAGAATTGGAACACAGTAATTCTAAATAAATGTTTTAACATATTTGCATCCAGAAGTGTAAGCACTGCAAATCTCTTCCCCCACTTACAAGAGCACCATAAACTGCAGTGTATGTTGAAAGACATATTTTTTTAATTCAAAGACAGACGGTTTGTTCAGTAATCCACTGTTTTATAAAAAAGAAAGAAAAAGAAAAAATCCCCCCCTGCTGTACCAAAAATATGCCGCACCATGACTTCAAAACACATAACAAACCATAATTTTTGTGTACCGTTACACCCCTAATAGACATCTTGACCATTGTGTCACATCTTGCTGGACCCTAATTACACATGGCTTCCTTAACATCCACTTATCTACTAGTCACTTAAAGAACCAACTAGATTATTTACAAAATATGTATAATATCGTTCATAAGTTTCAAGTAAGATTTTTTTTTTTAATGTTTGAACAATTGAGTAATGGCTGCAGATAATTCAGCTTTGCATCATGGTAATAAATTACATTTTAAAATATACTAAAATAGAAAACAGTTATTTAATAATATTGCACAACACTACTGCTATTACTGTATTTTTGATCAAATGAATGCAACTTTTTAACAGTAGTGTAATTTTGCACAATTAGTGGAATAAAGAGCATTACCTCAGCCTCCTGGTCGTCGTAGCACAATTTCTTTGTGTCTGAGTCCCAATCCATGGCTACTGTAGAGTGAGCTGTAGAAAGGAATATCTATCAGTTTTGATTTATGGGCAAGAGCAAGCGATCCTAAAGAGTTCGAGTCAGACAAAAATGGTCACAGTTAATAATCCACCCGATTCATTTGATTAATTTTTAACACCAAATGTAAAAAGGTAATAGTTACTTGTGAGCTTTAGGAGATTGCCATCAAATGGGACAGAACTAATGTTGGCTGTGCCGTAGGAGTTGACCATGCTGAAAGAAAAGAGTTTTGGCCGAGAAGTAAAAGATTTTCCACCACTGCTATTGGGCCCATTCTCTGGTTCTGGTTCTGCTTCCTCCTCTCCATCTACAGTGTCAGAATGGCTGTTCTCTGGTTCTGGACTCTCCTGGTGATCCATGGCTTCCTCATCACCTGAAACAAACACATATATCAAGATCAGATCTGTATCTGATGAATGTGAAGAAAACCTAAATGGATGACAGTATGAATGCAGCATTTGGGAGCTTTTACGACATTTGCTCCCAAACGTTGAGTGTCCTACCATCACAAATTCCATTGGGGCCGTTGCAGGTTCCAGAGTGGTTGCTGTTGTTGGATCCAGCGCTGCAGGAAGCTCCATCTGAAACTGGGCTGCTGCAGTCACTCAGGCCAGTGATATGACTGGAAACTGAAGCTAGGCATTCTGGTGATTGGCTGCTGCTAGAGGAAGTGGCCGAGGCAGATGCTCTACTGTCAGTAATGGTACCCTGTGAACGTTTAACATAGCGCCTAAAACAAAAGATAAATAAAAGTTCAACCAAGATTGCAGTGGCAGAACTGGTGTAAAATTGAGATAGACCACCAAAGCACAACACCAACCCGATCCTCTCCAGCACGCGCTCATAGAGGGTATCCACAGTAAGGTTGTGGCGTGGGACAGTGATGAGGAGAGGCTGGCCGAAAAGCATTGTGCCCGAAGCGCCTCCGCTGTGCTTAGCATGCCTCTCTCTGAAGTACACTGGCAGGTTCATCTTCTCACTATCTTCCTCTAACACCTCATAACTGAACCACAAAGACACAATCAGAAAAAGGCCACTCACTTAAACAACACACTTAGCTGAACAGCAAAACTTATAGTATGAAAAACAATTCAAACATATGCTACAGTTCAGAAGTTTGCAGTCAGTCATTTTTTTTTTTAAAGAAATGAATATTTTCAAGGAGGCATCAAATAAATAAAAAAATTACAGTAAAGACATTTACAATGTTACAAAAGACTGATTATTTTCAAGGAGGCATCAAATAAATAAAAAAATGACAGTAAAGACATTTACAATGTTACAAAAGACTGATATTTCAAATAAATGCTGTTCTTTCTTTCGATATTTCAAATAATTTCTTTGATGGACTTTCTTTTCAAAGAATCCTGAAAAAAAAAAATGTATCGTGGTTTCCACTAAAATATTTAGCAGCACAACTGCTTTCAACATTGATGTTAATAAGAAATTAAGCACCAAATCAGCATATTACAATGATTTCTGAAGGATCATGTGACACTTAAGACTGGCGTAATAGCCACAGAAAATTCAAGGAATAAACCACATTTAAAATATACTAAAATAGAAAACAGCTATTTGAAATTTTAATAGTATTTCAACAATATTACTTCATTTTAGATCAAATAAAAATGGCACCTTGGTAAGCATAAGAACCTTCTTTAAATAATAATAAAAATAATAATAATAATAAAAATAATGAACCCAAACTTTTGAACAGTAATGCAAGTAGAATTTAAAAAATGACTTACACAAAAATGTCATCCTTCTCCAAGATTTGATTGAGACCGTCATCCCGTTTGTAGATTTTGTGGAATCTGTGATTGTAAACATCTGCCACAACCATCTATAACAGTATGGGGGTGGGTAAATGACGACTTTTTTTTGTTGTTGTTGAAGGAATCATTTCTTTAAGCAACATAAATACCGTAATGGAAAAAACGATTGTTAGGTATGAATGAGGGGAAACCATTAAAGTCTTACATTCTCTGAAGGAACTCCAGATAGCTTGGCCAAAGCGCTGCACAGGTCTGCCACTACACCCATTTTGGGAACAACTACACGATACTGGAAGATAACAAATTGATCTTTTAGCCCACCTCCTGAACTAAACCATGCGTCTGAGTGTTTTCAGGAAAATAGTTCTTACTTGCATGGGTCTAAACTGCGGGTCAGTGCGGACCAGGAACACCTCCATAGTGCGATCCTTTTTCATGGGCAGGGGCAGTGTGAGGTAGCAGAAGGGGTCAAAGGTAACGGAAACTTTGGAGCATTCTGGGCAAACCAGCGTAGATTTGAACAAGCCATGGAAGATGTCCACGATTACAGAATCGTTCCGCAACCGGTGATTCGCCCATGCTTCCTTGGCTACAATCTACAGACAAATGAGATACCCACAATTCAAACAACATTCTTCAGTTTAAAACGTAAGGGCCAAATGCTTATAATGTTATAGTGGTCAGAATAGTGCTTATTCACAGGTACAAAAGAAATAATAGCTTTTGTCTGATGGTTTATCGTTTTCACTACGTCTGTATTTTGTTTCCAACTAAAATGCACGCCACATTATGGTTTACATATGAATGTTTACCTCATCAGGCCGTCCCTCGGCATCTCTCAGGGCCAGATAAGGCTTCTTCTTAACACGGTTAACGTCCTCATGTAGGCCGTCCAGCAGAAAGGCCAACAGCTCCTGAGAGTCTTGTTGCTGGTACCCTGAGAACTGCGGGGCAAACCGGCCCACCTGGGTCTGACCAGAGAGAGGAGATACGGTTTCATTCAGGTCTGTCTTAAAAATGGCCAATGAGTTCCATAGTAACTTTAGCCTCTGTAGGCTAAAGATTCACTCACTTTAAAAGTGCGTGGAGCCACATAACTGCTCCGACTAAGCCACATCTGTTTGACCAGATCCGCGTAGGCCTCTGCAATCTCCCCTCGCATCCCTAATGGATTTTCCCGGTTGATCTCAGCTTCATACCGGTCTTCCAAGAAATATTCCGTTAGAGGGGGAGTGTTGCTCAGGCACTGAAATAAAAAGTCAATTAGAATGAGAAGAAAATGAGGGTTTGGCTGCTAGATGTCAAAAATTCAGGGTTTGGCTGCTAGATGTCATAACTACACAGTCTGGGCCCACAAAGCATCTTTCTTCCATTGACACCCATCAGCATACCCATATGCCAATTAGCAAATAGGGCAGATTTCAAAACATACTGTTTAAATGAACATTCACTTTTGCATACCTGGAGAGCAGAGTTCATGAAGCAGGTGTTGCCCAGGTTGCTCAGACCACAGAGGCCTTCCTGAGCGGAAGATTCTCTGTAACTGTAAGAGGAGCTGTAGGAGTTGTAACTTCCCAGTCTGCAAAATGTATGGTGGGTTAGCAAAGACATTCACCATTAGTTAACACCACAATTCAGACCATCACAAATGGTCAACCCAATGCTGAATACAAGAAACCTGACCTTGAACTGAAACCTTGTTTCAGTTCCCTATTTAAACTCTCCCAGTAAGGAACTAAATTAGTGTATCTGTGGAGTAATTTAGGACTGTTTTATGTGATTTAATCTGACCTGTTACCAGAAGTACTGTTGTTCAGCATGTAGCCAGAGTTGCTATTGCTATCCCCGTTTGTTATTGTGGAGGATATGGTGGCAGATGAGTTAGAAGAGAGTTTTGGGGAGGTTGTATAATTCCGAGAGGTGGAAGTACTGGACCTAGGCATAAATCAAAGAATAGGTTAGGGTAAATCCAAGCTGTGTTATAATAACAAGAGTTAATGGCAATCAAAGTAACCAATTTAAAAGAAAGCTCCCAATAATTAAAAAATGGTAGAAGTAAAAGCATAAAAAAATTAAAAAAAACTTCAGGTACCTCCAGTTCTGAACCTTTAAGTGATTTCTTTTAAGCATTAAGCTCCAACGTTAATAATAGTTGCTTAAGTGTGAAAATGACCTAAATTGCATGTACATACTTGGAATGGCAGGTCTGTCTGGGCCATGTGCCATCCTCATTCTTCTTCTCAATAACAAGAACCTGAGGAGTGAGATGAGATTGATGATGTGAATTCATAAAATGTCAGTCAGAGTCTCAAACCAACCACAACTGGAATGGAATGCAGCACAATGGTTTACCTGGCCCTGAAAAAGCCCTGCGTCCTGTACAGTGCTGTCAAGCTTGTTAAGTTGTTCGTAAGTGTTACTCATATATTTATTCCAAAGTCGAGTTTCCTTTTCAGATGGGATATCGAATAAAGACCTCATTTCCTTTTCAATAGTATCTAGAAGGGAAAAAATGGATATGAAATGATTGTTCACAAGGGCTGCATAATTTTTATTAGATCAATTTTGAGTTCAAACACATGCACAGCTGCTGATAATAGCTGTAAACAAATAAAATGAATGATTAATGAACCGTTCTCAATAGCTAGTACCAGTGCCTTGTAGTGATGGTAATGGATATAATCAGTGATGCAATACTACCGATGAGAGAAATTTATATTTTCTTGGAAGGTTTGTAAGTCTCGTACCTATAGTGTCAGCTTTGCTGAAATGGCGGGTAACAACTTTGTCCATGTTGTCATTATCGCACAGGTTCAACTCAAGCAAATACACTTCCACTTTACAGTGCTTCACAAACATTCCATGTTCAACAACCTGGAAAACAAGTTTAAAAAAAAAAAAAACACTCATTAACACAAAGCAAAACGAAACTAGAGGCTTTTAAAGCATTTCAGTCCGCACCTCAACCCAAATAATTAAACTTTAACCATTTAACTGTGTAAGAGTTTCAATGCAATTAAAACATGACAATAGTATCACCCAATAACCCTGCCTGTAATCACTCAAGTATATCAGACATGGGTAAATACAGGCATCTCAGAAAAAATGGAAAACCAAGAGATTACCACAATATGAAAAACTACAAAGAAATATACAATACACAAAGAAAGAATGTAGAACCTTTCTGATGATGGGTTTCTGACCCTCCAGACAGCCATACCAGCTGACCAGCTTATTCCAGGCCTCTGTAGGAACTAAAACATAGTCTAACTCATCTATGAGATGCTCTTTCAATGTCTGGGACTTGTGATCTACGATACAGAGAGAAAAGGGGGAAATCATTAGAAAAACACATTAGAGCCCTTTAACACTACACTGTATTATGCAAAAGAAATAGCCATGCTTGGCACAGATTTTGTGTGGTGCACAACAAATTAACATTTTTTTCCTTAAACATAAAAATTTGGTCATCATTTATTCACCTTCAAGTTGTTTCAAGTTTTTTGACTTTCTTCCATAAAACACAAAGGAGAGATACTGAAGAATGTACTTGTTGCTTTTTTCTGTCATTACAAAAATGGGTAATGGAGATTTTAAGCTTCAAAAAGGATGCAAAGCAACATAACAAAAAAGACCATACAACTATATTCCAAGTCTTCTGAAATCACATGATGGCTTTGGGTGAGAAAAATCAATATAAGTAGTTACGCAATGATAATCTTCTCCTCCAGTCATCTGTTAACTCAAATTATTTCATTATTAATTAACTCAAACAAATCATTTAGAAAAAGACCAATGAAAAGACCTGATTCATACGGTTTATTGTGTATGGTTTAAAATCTCCATTTGAGCTCCACTGAAGAAATGAAGTTGGGTTTGGGACGACATGAGGGTGAATTAATTAAAGAACTTAAATTTTCGGACGAACTATCCTTTTAAGACTGAAATATCAAAACATAAGTACACGGTAAGCTCCTAAAAAATTTATTTAGCCTTTGAATCAGGTATTCACATACATAACTGCATAAGAATTCCTATTCTTAAAAGCTCTGATAAAAATGTGTCTAGTATTATAACAAAAATCATTTTACTGCTGGCAAAAAAAAAATCACAATACTCATCAATGAGAATGTGAACACTCAACATAAGCACAACACTCACTCAACATTCATTACCTGAAAAGAGTCCAGAGTTGTCAATGGGTCCCGGGTACAGATTGTGCTCTCCAACATTGTACAAATCCCAGCTGTCAAAGCCCACATATTTCTTCCACTGTTTGAACCACCGGCTGTCAATCAAATACCTAAACAAGTGGAACAATAGGTGGAGATCAATAAAAAGTCAGTGGAAAAGGACAATTAATGTGTTTCTCTCCTAAAACATTAGAGCTAAACTGATGGCACAGCAAATATATTTTGTGTTGTTACACATCTACAAATATAGAACAGTCAATAAGGACTTGTTCCACTACATAAGCTTGTTAACACTTGATTCCGCAGACATTATACTTTGATAAGAAAGAAAAGTCTGAATTAAAATGGGTCAGACAAAATTGAGAATTCTATTATTGAATTCTCTATTATTGAATTGAAAAGGATCATTCTCTTTTTTCTGTGGAACACAAAAAGAGATGTTCACTTTCATTTTAGGGAAAAATGAATTGAAAGTGAAAGGTAACTTTCTTGCTAACATCTTTTAAATTCGACAAAAAGGCTGAGCAGCATTAGAAAAAAATTTGAAAATTGAAATGTGAACAATCGGTTTATTTCAAAAAATAAAAATGTAATTAAGGTATGTAGCCAACATTAAGCTCTTTAAAAACAGTGACCTTAAATAACACAAGATACCTGTTTGAGTAAATTAAATAATTGCAGTACAAGTCTATAAAATGAAAGTACTTCTAATCCTACTGAAACCTAAAAACGTTCCTTTCAATTGAGTCACTAGTCTCTTTACTTATTATAACTCGTCAGTCTGCTTTCAAAATAAAAGTGGACTGGCTATCCAAACACTTACATGTACTAACGGGTTTAAAATCTGAATCATGTGTATATATTTTGGGGTTTTAATCTCCATTAACTTAAGATGCATTTTTGTGTATTTACTATCTGTTCCATAAACAACTTCTATTGCCAAACAACATTGTGAGTGACTGAGTGTTATCCAGTAGCCATGACAAAGCACTGCCTCACTGTAATACTGATTTAGGTAGCTTAGTCTTCGTAACAACTTCACAGGGAGGAGTTTGCCCGTTATTTTAGTCCAGTTCGACAGTTCTAGTTTGACAGTTTGACAGAAGGTCGTCGTCTAACAGAAATGAACACTTAACCCGTCAATGAAACGCAACCTAGCCTGGCTAACTAGCATCGGCTAATGAAGTGCCTTACATGCCTGACGCTAACGTTACTTTGCCATGTAGCTTATCAGAGAACTGATAAGCGACAATGAGGTGGTTGAGTTTATTTACCAACCTTTTCGCTACTAACGTGTCTGAATACGTCTTATTTTTCTATTAATTAGACATTTAAGCTGACGAACCGGGGAGATATGAGAAGCTATGGCTGGTTAACCTGTGCTAAGTTATATAGCTACAAGACAGCTTCCTCGTTTTCTAACCGATATAAATAGTGTTGAATCCTTATTACAGTAAATCGCACGCGTGCCCTGTACACCAACTCGATAATAATAGCAGCCTTCTAGTTTATGGGTGTTAGCGGAGCAGGTGGCTGTCCACAGCCCGGCTAGTGAAGAGATTTCCGGCAGCCGGTGTCTCCGTCTGTAGGCCTGAGCCGATGCCGACAAGCTTGCTTTGACTTCGGCTTCACATAAAAACCTCTTACCACTCATCTCCCTTTCGAAGTGGCGTCTTCAGCAGTGTGCCGATGCTCTGCTTTTGACTTTCGGTGGACGGTACTGGTGTCTGTGCGATCACCGGCTTCTCGTCAGGGTCCGAAGCGTTACCCGACTCGGGTCCGCCTCCCTCCGCCATCGTGCAGCGAGTGAACCCGCAGCGACCGCGAGCGCGCTGAAGTATACAGGAGACGCGCAGCGCTAGAGGGAGCGCGCATACTTAGCTGCCGAATTCAACTGGGAGTTACATCCTTCATGAATAATTAGGGCTCTGGGAAGATAAGCATTTTGGTGTCCGCATCCCTGACAGCTTAAAGTATTGCTGTCAGCCGCTACAATAAATCTTTGACTGATAGGACCTCTTGCCATATTGTCCCCTGAAATTGATTTTCTATTGCATTGCGCTTTGAATAGCGTATTTGGTTTGATTTAAACCCATACAAAACGGATGTCCGATCCATCATTCTGAGTCGAATTTCGACGAATCAGTTGAACTGGGTCACAAACTCGTATGAAGGATTCATTTACGAATCGAACTGAGTTGGGTGAGTTTGAACCGACAACGGCCTCTTTAGGATATGTCAGATTTGTGAACCATGTAACTTACTATGGTTGGATTGCATAAAATGCTTAGACTAGTCTTAAAGGTTAGTCATCTACTTTTTTTTCCTGTAAGTTTGGTCAACTTCTTGCGGTCACTTGCATAAAAACTGTGTAATTTGAATTAAAAAAAAACTGCTAGTTACGATGTTCATACAACCGGCCACCTGAAAAACGTTTGTGAGTCCTGAATTGGTTTTAATAAATTGCATTTTATTAAAATTTCCTAATAAGAGAAATGTAAATAAATGTAAGTATTGTTTAATGTAAATGCAAATTATATTTAGGTCATAAATGACTGTAGAAAAAAGTGGTAGAAAAGGTTATTAAATAGAACAGAGAATAGTGCATCACTTTTTTTAGAAAATCAGGCTGTATTAAGAATGTACACATCCAATAAATGTAGTGAGAAACATTTAAACCAAAAATTGCATTTAATAAAACTCAAATAAATATATTAAACATGCCAATAAATCTTAATATCTAATGAGGAAAATCTACTGAAATTCTGAATACTGACATTTTTTTCGCTACATACTCAGTGCATGGTGTACTGGCACCACAAGAAAGCCTCTAAAACAACAGTAAATTAAGGAACATACTATTTAGGTAACTGAACCTAAGTTATGGTCTGATCCACTTTTTAAAATTACATTATTTCTTAAAACTTCCTTTTTGCCTACGTGGTCCAAGAAATCATATGGTCCTAGTAAAATAAGAAAGCAGGGCTCTTAAAACAACAAAAATGAATAAAATTGTGTTAAAACAAAAATAAAGACGACATAGCAATAATCAAAGGGAATGTTTTCGAGAAAACCAGACCACATGCTACATAATAGGTGCACGGTTTCTGTTGCGTTGTATGAATGCAGTCTTAAGAGATAACCCATAAAGCTTAAAGAGCAAAGCTTTGTCACACAATGACACTTATGTCAGAGCAAAAATGAACAATGGAGGGAATGGTGCATGCATATTACACAAAATGTGATATGTCTGCAATGAGGTTTATGACACTTTCTAGAAAAAGAAAAAATCTGAATGGAAGCGACTTGCCACTTCCAAACCCAGTCTGACAATTCACTCTTCTATTTCGGTGAGGTCCTCCAAAACCTCTCAGTAGTGCACTTAGAAGATGCCTGTTGGCAACTCTTTGCTGAACATCCCAAAAAAATCCAAGTCCTTACTCATCAGATCCTCCTCGACATTTTCTAAGGCCCATTGATGATCCGTCAACTCCAGAGCCTCCCATTCCGCCTAAGAATAACATTCATATACATAAATCTTTAAAAAACTAAAAGAAAAACACTTAGTCTGCAGCCTCAAAATAACATAAAAAACAAAAACTGTTTTGTAAATTTAATAAGATTAGGGTGCAGCTCCTAATTTGCGATACCTTGAATGCTTTGTTTGTGTCAGCAGGCATTGCCATTGCAGCACCACTCATCTGTTCCTGCATGATGCGAGACTGATCTGCACCTGTTGCAAATGTAAGAAAATTAATTGCATTACAAATTAATTGCAATACAAATGTAACATGAAAAGTATGCTTATAATTCTAAAATGATTCAAATGATTTTTAAGCTAAACATTTAAAGGCAACAGCTATTTCTACAGGTACATCTCAATAAATTAGAATGTTGTGGAAAAGTTCATTTATTTCAGTAATTCAACTCAAATTGTGAAACTCGTGTATTAAATAAATTCATTGCACACAGACTGCTATGGGGTATTGTCAAGAGGAAAATGAGAAACAAGAGACCAAAAAATGCAGATGAGCTGAAGGCCACTGTCAAAGAAACCTGGGCTTCCATACCACCTCAGTAGTGCCACAAACTGATCACCTCCATGCTACGCCGAATTGAGGCAGTAATTAAAGCAGAAGGAGACCCTACCAAGTTATTGAGTACATGTACAGTAAATGAGCATACTTTCCAGAAGGCCAACAATTCATTAAAAATGTTTTTTTTTATTGGTCTTATGGAGTATTCTAATTTGTTGAGATAGTGAGTTGGTGGGTTTTTGTTAAATGTGAGCCAAAATCATCACAATTAAAAGAACCAAAGACTTAAACTACTTCAGTCTGTGTGCATTGAATTTATTTAATACACGAGTTTCACAATTTGAGTTGAATTACTGAAATAAATGAACTTTTCCACGACATTCTAATTTATTGAGATGCACCTGTACAATACAAATTTAGCCCTTGTGCTGTGCTGAAAATCTTTTACCTAATTTGGTGATCCCAATCTTAAAAATGACCAGAATGCCCTTTTCTCTTTGTCAACCAGTTTTTTTTTTCCAATTAGCACAGATTTTGTATTTCATTTTTGGAAGTGACTGGTTGTAGGCCTCACTGATCTGAGCTTATGCATCGCGGTTTTTGAGTGAAGAAAAGCATTATTTGTGGAGAATGTTGGCAATATTCACTGAAAAATTTTACAAAATTACCCCAGCACCCCAAAACTCATCCCAAAAAAGTACAATAATTCCCCCCCAAATAATTAGGAAGTTATTATACCCTCGGTGATCAAAGTCAGCATCAGCGCTGGAGTAGGTCAACATTATGGTGTATTGAAATGGAACATCAGTAAAGTTATTTACCATTGTCTTGTCCAAGAATCAGAGAATACATGCTCCTGAGACCAAAGACATTCAGGAAATACCAAGATGCTGAACTCACCCTGTGGATGTATACAGCACGAGACTGTTTAAAGACACAGCTTTGAATGAAATAAGAACAACACTCAAGGGTTTGAGAGCACTAACCAGGAGGCATCTAGAGAGAGCAACTCAATTCCCTGCTGCAGCATCGGCTTGAAGCGGAGTGTGAGGGGAAACGGTACCTTTGCTTGAGAGAGAACAGATTTATAAATGCGTTAAGACGAGCTCTGTGAGAATAGACTACAGGAAGCCATACTCTCATATTTGATTGTGAAAACTGTATCTCTTACTTGTGACAAACCCAGAGAAGGTCCAGTTGATCCAACCACCAATAAGGATCATAGGCAAGACGTTTGTCACATTGCCTTTCATCATGTCCGTCAACATGCTGGGATCTAATTGAGCAAATTACATCATGGCATTAACCTTTTCACTCAATCCTGATTGTCATTTTATGACATATGCATAAAAGTATTTCCACCAATACTCACCAGTCATTGGAGATGGTGGGACCACCTTTCTTTTGGTCTTCTTGAAAAAGCCATCTTCTTGATTATTAAAGTAGAATTTTCTCATCAAGAAAGACTTTTAGCAAGAGATAACATTTCAGTTTCAGTACTCCAGTAAAGTCTCAAGCAAAAGACACAAAAAAAGATAAGAGGGGCTCACTTGTTTGGGGATGTATTTTCCATTTTCCCGTAAAACTCTGCTCCTGATAAGAACCTGGCTGTGTAGAGAACATGATCTTTAGTGTTTTGTAACATTTTGTGAGTTGCAAAACACATGTGGATGGATAATGAAACAGTCCAATGAAAGTTACCTGTCTGAAACTTGCTCTAACGTGAGCTTCTTGTCACTTTGTAACAGAATTGAAACATAATGGCGGATCACTCCAACCAGAAAAGTAATAAACACGATAGGCAGCACAACCCAAAGACGAATATTGGAGTCCAGGAGGAGCTCAGGCTCAGCCATGCTTTAGTGAAGGGATGTTGATGGGATATGCCAACCCTGAAACAGACAAACTATGAGATCTAGTAATCTCTTGGACTTCATTTAATCGAATGCCCAAAGTTATATTTAAAATAACAAGCTGATCACCGTGAACCATTGTGGATTAATGATTAGTACATGTATATAAAAGGACAGCACTGATATTTTCATAATAAGCTAGTACTCGATTCCTTTAATTAAGTCTGCTCGGACCTTCATAAGACTGCCAAACGTTACATTTATCGTTACATTTAGAGATTTCCAATTTATCTGTTCATATTCAAGTCAAATTCATAGATGTGTATGTCGTCTCTATCTGTTACAGAACACAGAAAAAGAAAAGCAGGTGCTTCAGATTTCAGTGTAAATCCACCCACTATAACGTCGCATTCAGGGTTAGCTTGTTGCTATCAACCTTCTTTCATGGTGAGGCGTCTTTTTTAGCATATACACACCGGCACCGAGCATATGCTATATTTTCGACGCTACATGTTGCGACAACTGAGACTTTATCATAATGCAGTTATTGTACCTACTCTCGTATTCAAATTGCGGTTTATCTCTTCGAAGCCCGATAACGACTCAAAGCAGGAATCGCCAGCATCGAGCCGCTGCTGTTAAGATGTGAACGCAACGTACTAAGCAGAGAAGTTTTTCAAAATAAAGGTTATTTCTGTAACATTTTCATAATTAAAGTTCGTAACGTTATATCAAATTTACTAAATCAAATCAATGTGTCAGTAAAATCTAATTATAATTAGAAACGAATGTATACATTTATTTAATTCGGTCTGTTATATCACTTCACTGTCGGCCGGTGTTGTGGGGTTATGCTTTGCGTTCATTTGACTGGAAACACCAGAAACCGGAAATGTTAAGCATTCCCTTATGAGACGGACGAAACTTCCGCGTTCGGGAAAGAGGTGGATAGGATCGATAAAAAAGGTCAATAAAAAAAAAATCATAAGATACAAAATTTAGTTATTTCTTACAGTTTAGTGTATTTTTAAATACCAGAAAACTTCATTTAAATAAATACATAATTTATTTTTATTATTTTATCCATTAAATATTCAAGCATTCCGAGTGTTTTTTTGACACTGCATCTGAACGGATAGTACAGTGTGTCCTTAACCCCAAATACAGCTCAGACATGAGTATCAAATGTGAATTTATGAACATAAGCAACATACATTTATTTTATTACCATGGATGAGGCCACGCATAACACAACACATTGAAGCACATGACATTAAACTAAGAAAAAATGGTGACAAATTAACTCTTTTTTTTTTAAATGAATGAATGTGGTAGCCGTGGGGGTTCTGCACAGAAATGGTTTCACTCTGAAGACTACAGTAACAGTTTTTTTGTCTTCAATTAACATCTTTAGAGAGAAAAAAAACCGGCTCAAAATGGACAAAGAACAAAACTCCATAAGTATTCGCAACACATTTTAATACTGTGGCCTGTATAAGAAAAACATATGAAACATTCTTCTTTTACAAACCACATCCTCTCATATCAACACTGGCATGTTCATTAACAGGCAGTTTCTGCAGCATTTGCTCCACTAAAAGAAACCACAGCTAATTAGATCTAAAAGGGTCAATAATAGAAATATTTTTAAGTAGTGTGACTGAAATACACAGAACTATTTTATAACAGCTTGTAAATACAGGAAGAAAACAACAAACATAAATATAAAAAAAATAACATTTCAACAAATCCAATCTCAAAGAAATCGCACTGATAAACAAATTTAACAACCAATCCCATGTTATCACACAGCCCACACAAAATGCAACAGGCAAATGTGCACATACCCACACATACACTAAAATCAACCATTGCCATGATAGAACATTGCGTTTACCTCATCACACACATACTGAGACACGTTTAGTCCAGGGCGTATCACAGGCTGATCAAGTTTGGACATGTTTGTTCTATTATGCATTACTGAATGGAATTACATGGAATCAGAAACACCCACATATGTGTGTTCCTGGCTTGGGAGATTTAAATATATATATATATACACACACACATTTTCCCCAAGAGAATGGAATACAATTTACTCTGCAACTCTGATGCGAAGCGAGCCACTACAGGTCAGGATCAGATGCACAGTGGGAGCACATCCTTGATGTAGAACAGAATTTGTGCGTTAAAAAAATCATATAAAAGAACTTAACCTCATAAATTCAGTCAGTCTGATGTGGTCACAGAGGGCTGTACTAAAAGAGAAGAGCACCCATACTGCCCACTTCACTCTGTTCTTTCACAAAGATCTCAAAGTACTGGTAGATGATGGTGACGGCCAACAAGATTCCAGTTCCTGAGCCGATGGCTCCCAGGAAGTCGGCCATGACTGAGAGGCCACCTATACACAGGCCTCCGAAAGCTGCTGCTGTGGGGATGTATCTAATTGAGGATTTAAAGAAAGTTTTAGTTATTCCATGTTTGATTAATTGAGTCTAATTAAGTTTGAGTGCTCTGTATGTTTTACCTGTTGAGTTCATGGACCATAGAAGTTTCTCTGTGTCCCCTCATAACCATCTGCTGTTCTTTCAGCTGTTTGGCGACCTAAGTAATGCAAAGTGTACACATGAAGCCTGCATAGGTCAACTGTACAATGCAGCTCAGTGTACTCAATAAGCAGGAACAGTATACAGCTTCTTACATCTTTGGCAGAGGATCCAGACACCTCAATCCAGGTCTTAGAGAAGAAGGCACAGGATCCCAGCATGAAGATTATGTAAATGATGGCATGGACGGGATCCTCCAAAACTGTGCTGAAGGACTCTGGGGGAGAGAGGTAGTAACATAGACCACCTACTGGATAAGCACGAGCTGGCCCTCCAGTTGAGGTATCCTGTTAACCGAAGAAAAAATCTTTATAGGTGCACCAAGGTGTATTTTTTTTACAAAATAATTTGTTACAAAACTCAAAGAGTCTGATAAGCAAAATAAAATGAGTAGCATTGCTATGGTCATGTGATTTCAAAATGAGGGTGGACCACACATGTAGAATAAACAGTTTTATAGGCAACATCATCTTGACCAGGTGTGAGTGTACATAATTTTAAACATATGATTCACAACCAGGGGGTCAGAGTCCACTAGAGGGACCTCAGCAAACTTTACACATAAAATTATTTAAACATTTAAATTAATGAATTACTATTACTATTAATATATTCTAATTCTAAATTAAAAACAATAACATCTTTTATTGAAGAACATACAGTTCTTGAAACAAAATGAGTCATAGTTAATTAATTTAACATATCAATACTGCCAGTTTATATGAATAAGATCAATTTTTTTTTTAAAAAGCAGCTTTGTCAATTACAACAATATATATAGCCTATAATAATATATTGAATATTGTGTTGGAGAATGGGGGGCTTTTGAGTCAGAAAAGTTGTTTTAAAAACTGATTTAAAACATGTTACTCTATTTATAGGTGCAAGGAAAAATGCATGTTCAAACTGAAAAAAAGAAAGAATAAAAAAAGATTAAAACCTGTTCAGACAACACAAATATGGGAAAGTTTAAACAAGTGACTTACCGACCAAGTACCCAGCAGGTTGACCAAGAAGTTCCCACTGAAGCGAGTGGAGAGCATTTGAGAGATGACGTATAAGTTGGACACCAATGCAGACTGCAGGATGATGGGAATGTTGGAGGTGTAGAACAGTTTGATGGGATACGTGTTATACTGGCCACGGTAACGAGCAGATTTGATAGGGAGGTCAACTCTGAAGCCCTGTGGAACAAGAAATAATATACTTGGCATCGAATACTTGAATTGTGATCATTTATAATTAAACCGCAATATCTGCTATTATTTCCAAATGCACATTATTAGAGGCCCAAACTGAGAGCAGATGCAGAAAACGAGTTCCTGTGGAGCATTTACTTTGACCAGAGCCGCTCTAAAAAACACTGGATCATGAGCTGCTTGCATTTGAAAGCCACTGAACCATATCATAATTTCATATTTTGTTTTGAATTAATTGTGCAGCCCTATGTGCGGGAAGAGTTGTCAGCTAATTAGGGCTAAAGGGTTAGTTCACCCAAAAATGATATTTATTCAATAAATTACTCACCCTCAAGTAATCCTAGGTGTATATGACTTTCTTCTTTCAGACGAATCCAGTCGGAGTTATATATTAAAAATTGTATTTGATCTTTCAAGCTGTTTATTGGCACTCAGCGGGTGTTGCATGCATCAGTCCAAAAGAAGTGAAATAAAAAGTGCCCATCCATAAAAAATTTTTTTTAAAAGTGTCTCACACGGCTCCAGGGGGTGAACAAAGGCCTCATTCAAAATGTAAATCACTTTAATGTAGCTTGCGCCAACAGTTGTACACGGAAGCAGCTCCGGGCTGATGAGGTATGAGGTCAGCGTTGCGCATGCGCCAGTGAGTCTCGTGAAAACCAACGTTTGTATACAGGAGCAAAGGAAGCAAAGTTTCCTTACTTTAGCGAAAGAAAACCAGTCTCCTCTTATCGAAATCCTCCGACATTCTTCTTTACAAAGCCTCGTTTTGTACTTCTAATTAGTGACCGTTGTTTTGATTTGATCTCTTCCCTGCGCTTCCGAGTGCGTCACTTCTGAGTGGCGCATGCGCAACGCTGACCTCATACGTCATCCGCCTGGAGCTGCTTCCGCGTACAACTGTTGGCGCAAGCTAGATTAAATTATTACGTTTTAAATATGGTTATTTTTCGTACAAAAATGCATCGATTTGCTACAGGAGGCCTTTGTTCACCCCCCGGAGTCGTGTGAGGCACTTTTTATTAAGGATGGGCACTTTTTTTTCACTTCTTTTGGACTGATGCACTGCAACACCCGCTGAGTGCCATTAAATAGCTTGAAAGATCAAATAATTTTTGGATTCGTCTGAAAGAAGAAAGTCATATACACCTAGGATGACTTGAGGGCGAGTAATTTATGGACTAATTTTCATTTTTGGGTGAACTAACCCTTTAAAGATTTGAACAAGCTATAGCAGCAGATATGGCTTAGCAAACAACTCTGTATAGGTATGGACATTTTCGTGGGCAAAATCCCATCATTCCAATAGGAATCTCCACGATCAGGAGTTTTGTGTGAGGGTGAAAAACTTTCCCACGCAAGTTTCACTCATTTTCAAGTTAGTCACATGAATTTGCTGCATTTAGCAACAAAAACCTACTCAGATTGAAAGTGATTTCTGTGTCAGCGGTGCTTCTTACATTACTACACTATAGGGCAGTCAAAATGGCTGAAAAACTAAATTCGAATTGTGTACTTAAATATTATCAATATTCGAATTAGATTCGAATTTAAAAGGCATAATTTCAGTTACGGAGAAAAGCTTTTGGCTTCTCTCCTGAGGCCACAAGGGGGCGCATCGAACAAAATATTATGCACGTTTCTTCAAAGCATAATAAAATAACACGACTATCTTTGAAAAAAGTGCATAATGTTTAAAATAATGTTTATAAACCTTATATAATTAAAGTTGCTTAAACAATTAGACACAAAACAGCATCATGCATGTATATATGGTTTAATACAAAGGACCGAAAACCAATCACAAAGAGTACTTTATTCATTTAAACATGAGATGCAGTGGGATGGGGAAAACCGCCATAAAGTCTTGAGACATGTTTTTAAAAAGTAGAACTTACATAAATTTTTACATGGCTTTCTAAACATGCGGCTCTCT